GGAGTGCAGCTGATCTCACGGCACATATGGCTGTTCAGGTTTGAAAAAAAACTCTGAATATTTGATGGGTTGATCCTTAATGCTTTCTGCTAAAGAATTAGCAAGCCTGCTAATGAGCCAAGGGATCCCAAGTGGGGAAGGAGAAAAACACAGAATTAGGTTCTGTTTTCATTCAGGTTTTTATGATGCTCAAAGAAGAAGCACTATGCTTTTCACATACTTCATTTTCGCAGAATAGAAAGATTCAAGTAAATTACTCATCAAAGCCATCACAACTAAAATGCCATGTTCTCATAAGTGGATGTCTTGTGGCCATGGGGTGTCACAACCTATTTGCAAGGGCACATAGAGGTGCTCACCCCCGGTCAGGAGGCTAGGGGCATCAAGAAAAGTTGTCCTTCACTGGAAGGGACGTTCACAGCTAGAGATTCAGTACTTTCACTGCCTCCCCATCTGTTTTTTCTTCCTTGAAAGAAACTTATTTGTCCCCCATCCCACACCCCATCTTGTCTCCCCACTGCTCCATACCATCCCAAAAGAGGTGGCTGCTTCTGCGTAAACTGGATGTGCTTGGTTTTCCTCCAGCCCCTTTGCATTCGTGTTGCTCCATCAGCTTCCTGCTCTCTCTGCATCCTGTAGCCAAATACTGTTTGCAAGCCACTCAGACTGTGTCTGTCTCTTCCCAGTTCAACGACACCTTTCATGTCAACACAAAAAACCCAGGAAATTCAGAAGCAATATCTTCAATAATTAAAAGCTCAGCTTGTCTGTGGGTTTCCTTTCAACAAATCTACCACAACTCTAGAAAATTGCAGCTAAGAGTGTAAGAACAGCCAGATCAATCTCCAACCACTTATCTTACAAACCAAGAACTGTCTGCACTTGACACACTCCCTTTCTCCTGAAATCCATAGCAAATATTCTCAAAGTACACCTGATATTGGTTGCAACAGTTAACTTAGTGGAGAGGCAGGACTCCTGCTGCTCCCATGTTTTGCAGCTACTACAGCAAAATAAATGTTTACTCCAAACCCCACCACTCATAACAAAAGACACACTTGCACACACTAATAAAATCATCAAATAGAAATCAGCCAAAATTACTAATCCTGCTTAGCAAGGATGTGCGTTCTGGAGAGGAAGTGACTAGGTCGGCTTTGGCTGTGTCCCAGGAACTCAGGCAGCAACTGCTCTGGGCATGGGGGAATAAAGGATATTTCTGTAGTTTTAACTCTTATTTTCCACTTCAAAGTTCTTTACCATGTCCTCCACCAGCAATGCAGAAGCTTACAAGGAACTGTCTTTTACAGCTACCATCAAGTAAAGATGCTTTCCTCTCTCAATTTGACATTACATCTATAACTTGGTCTTACTGGAGTTATTTACATCGAAGGCTCTCTTAGAAGTTTTTTCTGTCCTCAACGTGTGTGCCTGCAGCTGGACAGAGAAGTCACTACACTTTGAAGAAGTTGCTATAAATTAGTGCACGGGGTTAGATAAGGTTCAGGATTCCTGCAGTGATTATAAACTCAGCAGGAGTCCTTACAACAGCTCCGATCTCGACAGGGTTTCTGTCTTGTTAATCAGCCTCCTTCAGGACTGGAAGCAGTTCTGTGTCTCAGCTCTTGGGAGCTTTCCCTGGAAGCTGCAGTTTTGTGCAGAAGGATCTATCAATTTACAAAATCTACAGACCTCTGATACATTTGGTAAAACAATATCAAAAAAGGGCTAGACTTAAGCCGTTGCACTCCGCGTTGCACCAAACAGCACAAAGACTATAAATTTCTTGTCACAGTTAATGCAAAACAAGATTTGGTGATTGTAGAGGTACGCCTAAACTGATTTTGCGGACCAGGTCCAGGTGTTCCCTCCGGCTGTATCCTGAAACCAGAGGGTGACAAGATCTGTGCACAAACCAGCGCTTGTCTCCTCTCACCTGCTGGGGGAAGGAAACGCAGGGAAGCAAATGAAGCAGACCTGGACATACTTTCTACTGCCCTTGGTCTTGACCAGGGAAACACGGATGTGCCATGGCAGTACCTATCCCTTGGAAAAACTACAGCCTGACTTGTGCAGGGAACACTCTATCCTATCTAGAAAGAGAGGATGTTTTCTTCTTCGTGTTGTGCAAGAGACAGCTCAAATAGGTTGCAGCGTTCATTAAAGAGATAAATTTTAAGCATCTTCTTCCTTTTGCTGAATCTCCATACAGTAGAGTGGCCCTTCCACGCATTTCAGTGTGCCATCTTTTCTTAGGTGAACACAAGGATTGCAGCTCCTGTGGCTTTTCATTGTCTGAGAACTGCATATATTCTCCCTGAAAAGAAGCTAAACTGTGGCTCTACAATGCAAACAGCACCTCCAGCAAAAACATGGAAATGGCATTCCTTATAAACAGTCTGTTTCAGAAAAAACAGAAAATTTGTGTTAAAACTAATTTGCAGTTTTTGTTTGGGCACAGAGAGGGCTGGAAAAGTCTGGATGCCAGTAAGTTAGAAAAGTGAGTAGCAATGGCACATTATTACTGTTGTTGTTTTCACTAATTATCGTTAACAACAACCACTGCTGATTCAGGTTTGTATTGTGAGAGTACCCAAGCACTACTTTTGTAGTACACAGCAGTTCCCTGACACAGGAAGTTCACTTTTCAGGACAAAGTAGAGCAGATGGATATATCTGACCTGACCAGGCACTACAAAGGACAAGCGTGACAGCAGTGTTTAAGCATAAGAAACAGTGGCATTAGCCTGACCTCCCTACTGGTTTTCCACGGTCCTTGTGAAAAAGATGGTTCTTAAGAGAGGATCTGAAGATAGGTATGGAGCTGACTTGGAAAGCGTTCAAAGCTCCTTCCAGATCTGATGGTAAGCATGGAAGAAGTTACTTGATGTAAAACTTTGCAACATTGACATGGACATTGGCATCACCAGGTAAGCTCAAGTGGGAGATAATGTTAACACGGTCTGGTAGACTTGACACCTTAAAATCAGAGACAAATAGCTGTATTTTATGCAATAGAGAAGATGACAGTGGTGAGATGTAAAGACAAATGTCTTTGGGCAAGATGTCAAGCTAGGAAAATGATCTGCACAGCAGCATGAATGGAGGTGGGTAACACTGTATTTGTCAAAACCAAGGAAAGGATGTTGCAGCAGCCAAGGTGTGCAATGAGAATTTGGAGCTGAGATTTATACCTTTGTTAATAAAGAGCTTCACCTAGAAATGCTGTTGAGTAACATTCAGCAAGATTTCCATGTAGTCTGACATAGTTCAGCATAGAAAGTGAAACTCAGGCTGCATACCAGGAGGAGGGGCAGATTTGAGAGGTTACCCATGAAGACTGAGGATCCATGTGAGAACGAGAGCCAGGGGATGAAAACATTACAGTCTCTGTTTTAGCCATGCTAAGCCTCAGCAGATAGTGAGCCACTGATGCAAAACATGGCTTTTGAGCTGTGTGTTGTTTTATTCCGTTTTTAATGAAAGTGAAAGAATATGTGAATCCTCAGGGAAAAAATGGTATTATCCATCTGAGGATGTCCTGAATGTTTCATCATGAAGCTTTGCAAAAATATTTCTTAAGGAATATTCCCAATGGAAAAAAAAAATAAATAAAGACCGCAGCAACTGTGTTCACTGGTTTGGAGATGCACCTTACCATCCCTACTCATACAGTGCATTTTTCTTCTTAGCTGCACTTCCTTACATATCCATGTTCCTCTGTGTGGAAGGAACCATGTCTCTTCTACATTTTTTGCCTAACTGCACAAGCCATATTGCACAACTTAAGGAGGAAGATCAGCTTCTTTGACTCTTCTTTCTAAAAGCCTTGCATAAAAAAATGGGTGCATAGGCCTCACATCACATCAGATGAATTCATGGTATCTGCTACTAATTTGTAACAGAACAGCAGAGACTCAGGCTAAGGCTTTTTTAATATGCAGTTCAGCCCTACAAAACCCTACTTTGTAAATGTTAGCTGAGTAAAAGCTCTGCCAGTGAAGTCGTAAGCAATACATCATCATCACCCATCAATAAACTTAAACTGGACAAAGAATTAAAAGCTGTATTTAACATATTCAGGGAGAATGGAGAAATGCCTTTAGGAACAACGCTTAATGCACTACTAATCTCTAAACCAAATATTTATAGCCCTGTAATTTATAAACAGTCTGAAATATTTGGGTAGTGGATATGCAGGAGGTGGAAGCGCACGCAGTAACAGGGAAGTTTTACCATTCCATCTACCTTGTTTGGTGTTTCAATCACTATTATACTGGATTTGTAAGCACTGTGAATTATTGAATGATCAGTTTAGAGAAAAAACCCTGAGAAAACCCCACTAGTTAAAATATATGGAAATGTTTAATTGTTTGTAAATTTGTCTGCCTCAGAAAATAACCAATGCCTAAGTTGATTTAAGCCAAAATCTGTCTGGATGTGTATTAATTTGCTTCATGAAAATAAACTGGAAATTACTAAGAGAAAAGAAATAATAATGAAATATGGAAATAACTATGGGTTTTGCACATTGTCATCATATAATGGACATAATAGGCATAATGACATTACATAATGGATTCTAATTAAATCCAGGTGGAAAATGACCTTCCTAGACCTCCCTTCAAAATTAAGATTTTTGACAGTCATGATTAATGGAAACATGCACTTTGCATGGTTTGTAAACCTGAAACATCATTGTACATTTCAGTTTATAATTTATCCCATTATCTGCTTCTGCATGCATGAAGGTCAGCCGTACTGGCACAGAGTAGCAGTGAAATCCAGAGCCTCTGAAAGGTTGCTTGCAGAGATTTTTCAATTATTTTTCATGAGGAAATAATTTTGCCTACTTTTTCCTTAGAAAGATGACAACCTAAAAGACTCATATTTTTAACACCAGTGATTGCAATATCCTTGCTATTCTCTTGTCTTTTTAGAGTAAACAAAATGGCACTGGAAAAAAAATGTGGGTTTTTTTTTTTGTTAAGGACTCCTACCCGCAATATTTCTTCAACGCAGCTGTTATCCCCAGCTCCACTGTCCTGTAAACAAAATGAGAAAATCGTTTGTTTCTGTTTTAAAACGAAATAACAAATAGCAGGTTTGAGGATATGGTTGTCACATGAAATATATTAGAACCTCAACTACACTTTCAAAATGAGGCCAAGTCTTTCCAGCATCTCAAAACTTGCAGTGCTTGAAATTCTCAAATTATTCCCCATCAGCACAACAGAGAGATGTAATATTTGCAGTGTTTACATGAATGCAACATATCTGTAGAAATTCATAGGATTTTGTTTGCACCACTTTTGGGTGCGGTTCCTGCTGTTTTGGCTGTACTACATATGAGTAAGTGTAAGCAAAACAGTTACTGCATGTACATAGATCCAACATGTGCACTTACTTACATTAAATAAATAACATCTCTCTGCATCCTATGTTCAGGAAAGACTGCAACGCCACTGTCTATGTGACAGTATATAAGGTGGTGAGTGGCACCTGTGATGCTTACGGGAGTGATGCAGAGACTGCAACACAGGCAGCAACACTGAGCATGGACAAGGCAGCACAAGTCTTATGAAGGCTACCATTTCCTAAAATACTGTCCCTAAACCCACCTGTATGTTGTGGCACTGAGGGCACAGGGGAATTCAGCTCTCCTGAATGGGATGGCTTACTCCAGAGCTATTCTGGAGAGGGAAAATAAAAGATCTGGTAGATCAGCTATTTCCCTATGGGAACCATCCAGCTGGTGCCTCACCTGCATGCTCAGCTTGGTTGTTCACTAAGACCCAAACTTCTGGCAGCAAAGATGAGACAGTGTGAGACACCAGTCCACCATACCTTGCCCCCATTTCCTGTCTGCTCCCTCCCCACAGTTCGTTTGGGCTGCCCAGCACAACAGGGAAGAGGGGCACACCATGGATGGAGGTACTGGTGCTGACAGGGTGCCTGTCTCCTACAGAGCTCCACAGGTTACAGGTGGCTGATGCATCAAGCAAGTTTTCTTGGGATTTATTTCTCCATGATAAATTCCCTGACATTTCCTCAAAGAAAGGTTTTCCTCCTTTTGTGGAAACAAACTAACTCAAAAGCAGAAGACTGGGGCTTGAGTTCTTCCCACATGGGAAGTAGGGGATGGAAACAAAACCAATATGATTAATTACTGTCCACAAAGAGCTAGCAGGGAGGTGAGCTTGGTCTTTGCCTCTTGTTTTCAGAAAAAAAACCTGAGTTTTCAGGTGACCACCTGGAGAAATATCAAAGCAATTTCATTTTCCAAAGCGCTGAGCTCTTCTGACCTGGAAACCAGACTTCTCTACCACTTCCGCATTTCGTTACCCAAAAAATCACAAGGCATTTTCAAAAATTGATAGTCTGTGCAAGTCCTGCTCCTGGATATTGTCACTGTCACTCCCCAGCCTGAGCTGAGTGACTGAGGAGGTCTGGATCCACATCTTCTTATAGCCTACCATCTGTAATCAAGGTCAGAAGTATGACAGCCATGCATATGCAAAGGGAACAATTCATGTTCCATAATTTTTTGTGGCTGTTATTTCATGCCAATTCATAGAAAGTAGTAAGCGCTTTATTTAATCTGCACTGAATATGGCCCTTGACTGCTAAACAAATGAATTGCATTAACTCTTTTTGGTGCAACACAGTCCATTGGCTTTACAGTTCACCAGGAGTTATGCCACTGATTTCAAAGGGAAAGGAAGTAAGGATGCTATAAAGTCAGTCTTTGGAGAGTAACTCATATCTGAACTACAGATGCTGAAGAGAAGCTGCAGCCTTGAGCAGATAGCCCTGTTCTGATTTCAGCCCTGCCTCCGAGGAGCCATACAACACCACGTGCAACCTTCCTGTTGCTGGAGCAGGGTGCAAGTGCAAGAGTTCACGCTGCCAGTGAAGCTAAAAAGACAGACAGAAACACTACAACAATCTTTGGGTATTTAAACATTTTAAAAACCGTATTAGCTAATTTTAACTTACCTCTTGTCTGTGGGTTTCCCTCCATTTTCTCCCTTTTCTCCCCCAGACCCTGGCCTATGACTTGGTATCCCAGTAACAACAATGGAGAGTGTAAATCCCTCCTCATGAATGCCTTGTTTACATAGCAATGATTTTTATTGCCTGACCTCAAGTTCTGTATGCTAATCCATTGCCATCTTAGAGAAGGAGGGATGAGATGACCTACCATCTCATGCTGCATACAATACTTTGAACATAAAGTGAAATGACACTTTTTGTGAGGAGATAAAACTACTGAAGGTAAATTTGGCAATAAACTATTTCAGACTTGGGTTTAGAAACAAGCTTCTGTTACAAAATTAAATATCCTTCCTTGAAGTGTAATGAAATAACACTCATCAAATACTCATCATCAAGAAGTGGCACTTCCCATTACCACAGAACTAAAACTTTAGCTATTCTCCCTGGCACATCATATCTCTGGGCAGGGAATAAAAAAAAAAAAAAATTCACCTCTCTCTTTCAAAATCATTACACTGCCTTTCAAAAGGCAAAAAAAGGTTGTAAACACAAAACCAAAGACAAGATATGCAAAACTGAAATCATATTTGGAAAAAAAACTCAGTTTCTAACTTTTCCTCTTTCTTCTTTATCTTTTTAGTGCCGTATATATTTTATTTTGGCTTTGAATACTTCTAAGGGTCTTACATTACTGTTGATACTAAACTTTCTAGAATAAGGGTGGGGAACTCAAGAGACCATGCTCTACACAAAGCAAGCAACTTCAATTTCATATGGCCTGGGACCATGTGATTTTTTTCATCATGGTATCATATAACGGCAATGCAGAGTGTAACTGTGGGACCTAAGGTACGTCTGAAAAGTGTATGTAGATGTTGGTATGGAAAAGACTTCTTATTCTCATTTTAAAAGCTCTTTTTCACCTCATCTCTACTCACATTATTGAGGAATCCACACTGCCAGGGAATCTGGCAATCTGAATTTAAATTCACGGCCATATTTTAATTATAAAAGATATCAAAGCTGGTAAATATTTCTTGAAATCTGAATTAAAAGGAGAGTTTGCATTACCTGCAGGCAACAAATACCACAGAGCACGTGAAATGTTATTTGCATCAGTGGACTAGCCTGATCCAGACACTATTGCATCCGTACCGGCTGCATGACGCAGCACCTGCATGAGGCTGATGTCGGTGGCGCTGGCAATCTGCGCAAAGCACTCCCTCCACCCTCTCAATAGCCTGCATGCCACACTATACTTGTGCAATAAATGTTTCAACTACTTTAAAAGTATATTAAGCAATTAAAACAAAATAAAGGTTTTGAGGCTGCTGTTTCCAACTAAGCCAAGGAGGTGCTATTATTCTGATACCGATGAACCCAGGTCATTTGCCTCCCCTTGCATTTTGTGATCTGTCATAACAAATTCACCTCACTGAACCTCCAGTGAACCATGAGTGAAATACTGGCAAGTCTCGGGGAGCTGCTGCGGGAAGTGGGCTCCAGTCTCTTCTTTCTCCAATGCTGTTCCCATTACCTTCGTTCCTCAGTCAGGGCAGCCTGAAGAACACCAAACATCTGCACACACATGCGGCTGGCATACAGCCTGGCAGGAGGATGAGAGGAGCTGCCGCTGAGGATAACGGCAGTAGCTGCTGAAGAAATAGCCGGGAGCATCGTGTGGCTGATAACGCAAGCAGCTAATTACCATGCAAAGCACAGAGAACTGTAAGAAGCAAGACTGACTAAAGGCTACATCAGATTCTTGAGAAATGGGATGTCGTTTCAAAAAGCTACATCTGTACATATTTTATTTCAGTGCATTAGTTTTTCTTCCCTTACCAAGAGCCTTCACACGGAGATACATAAAGAAACCTCTCAGAAAGGAATTGCCTATCATCTGTGATGTTTCTCCCTCCTTTCAAATCCTTGTGTTAAGGAAAGAAAGAAAAATATTCTGCAAGTATCTATTTCCATTTTAGTCTAAGAGATTTTTATGGTGTGAGGTTTTGGTGCTGTTATTATTTAGACTGAGCTAAGTGTTTTTACAAAGTCTCCAGAAGTTACTGGATTTTTTCTCCAGTATAAATTAGGCATGATTAAGATCTTCTGAAGGCCAAGGTATGTATTCAGCCTCTTCCAATTAGTGGGAGCCAGGCTGGCTCTGTCAGCACTTGAACATGGAATCTGCACTTGCCGGTCATCTGCAACCAGCGGCATGGCAGCAGCTGCCACATCTCCACCCTTCAAGTACCATCACTGCCCCCAGGCCAGGTCTCCACCTCCCTGTGCTGCACAGGCACTGCACCACATTCCTTAAGGTGGGGCTGTGGGATTCCTCTAGGGCCAGAAGGGAAGCTTCCGGCAGTGAACCTTTGCAGACAATAACCTAAATACAGGATTAAAAAAATAGGAAAAAAGGGAAAAAAGTCCAGATTGATGGACCTTGATCTGAAGGCATGTTAGAAATGCTTCTTTGTGAGGCAAGACCATAAAAGTATGGAGATAGACACACGCACGCACCTATAACATTATCTACATAATCCATTTGCTAGAAACGAACTTCCAGTATGAAGACTATAAGTATTGAGTCGTTGACTTTGTACTTATTCGTACTTGTGGCCACTGTCTGTTGGGGTGTGAAGAGCCATTGCCCCCAGCAAAGTTTCACTCGTGAAATAAAATGTTGAGATTTAACAGGGAGATGTGCCCGAGACCAGACAGGTGACTTCTGGGGTTTCTGTGGAAATACAGCCAGGTAAAGGTATTTTTTTTGAGAGATCATTTGCAGATGCCCAGGAAAGTTTTTTTGACACTGAGAGCTTAACTTGTTGATTTCCTTATATGTGCTACATCTGCCAAAAGGCTCTTTATGGGATGGCTGTGCTGAACCCACACTGCTCTGGAAAGAAAAGGCAAGACTCTACACCTTAGGAAAGGTGAGCTGGTTAAAAGATTAGACCTCAACCTGGTTAAAAACTGTGCACTTCACAGCCCTTAAGCACAGAAGACTCCTTGTCTCTCCCTGAGACTGCAGGCAAGCAGG